CAAGCCATCCACCCATCTTGTCCTCCCAGAGTGCTAGGAGTATAGGAGTCAGCTACCACGCCCAGCCAAGTATCAACGATTCTATTATTCTGTTTACTTTATGTCAGTTCCATGACTATTAATGGTCAACTTCCAGGGAGATTCATAACTGATCTCTAAATAATATTTTAAAAAACCCTTATACAATACAGGTGTCAGAGATCAAAGATAGTACCAGTATTGTATACTACCTATTAAAATAAAGAAGATATACTCTACTTCATTCAATTATTTGTTCATTTAAACAACAATTGAATACCTGCAGATGCCACAGTCATTGTACCTATTGCTTTATTATATCCAGCTGTATTAGTTATTGAAGGTTGCATAAAAAATTATCCCCAAATATAGTGGATTAAAACAATAAGCATTTAAGCATTAATTACTTCATAGTTTCTTGGGCTTGGAATTAGAGAGCAGCATAGCGGAGTGTTTCTGGCTCAGGATCTCTGTTGAGGTTATAATTAAGATGTTGGCCAGGGACACATGGCAGTCACCTGAAGGCTCCATTTGGGCTGGAGAATCTGCCCCCAAGCTCACGTGCGTGGATATTGTCAAGAGGTCTCATTTCTCACTGGTTGTTGGCTGGTAGCCTTAATCATCATGTGGGCATCTCTATAAATTGCCTGGATGGCATAATTTTGATGAAATAGCTATTGTCCCCTAGCAAGTAATCCCCGAGAGAGGAAAGCTGGTACACAGTTCTCCCCTCAGAAGCCACACTACATCATTTCTGCCATGTTCTGTTTATGAGAACAAGTCACAATACAGCCCCAAGTCAAGGTGAAATAAACTCTATCCTTTGAAGGAAGAAGTATCAAAGAATTTCTGGACATATTTTTAAATTGCTATTGAGTGAATATAATTTAATTTGCCAGATTTTACCTAATTATTATTAAATGGCTTGTTAATCTATTTGTAATATATGAGCATTGAAAAGGAATCTAAGTCTATTAGAGAAGAGAATGTTCTGCTGTTGTTGCTTTTTTGTTTACATTTCTGTCCCCATTGTCATCTCACCCCATTAAAAAATTCTCTATGTAGTGCTAAATAAATGAAGACTTGACCTACCTTATTACATTTACTAGGAATTACATTCAATGCTTATGACAAAAATTTGTTTTTCCTCAGGTAATAAGTTCAGAAGTGGGGAGTCCAGATTCAGTAAGCTGGCCCTCCAAAATAATCATGGAACTGAAGCACCTCTGGCTTCCATATTAAAAGTGTGCATGTGAGTTTTGTTATTATGGTTGAAATATGAAAGATGGGTATAAGTCAATGGCTGAAGAAATATTTCTTCCATAAAGCTTTTTTGGAGCCCCTCCTAAAGTAATCTACTTTTTTTTTTTGTTTTTTTTTTTGAGACAGTCTTACTATGTTACCCTAGATAGAGTGCTGTGAAATCACAGCTCACAGCAACCTCAAACTCTTGGGCTTAAGTGATTCTCTTGCCTCAGCTTCCCAAGTACCTGGGACTGCAGGTGCTCACCATAACACTTAGATATTTTTTTCTTGTAGTTGTCAGTGTTTAGCAGGCCTAAGCTGGGTTTGAACTCGCCAGCTCCGGTGTATGTGGCTGGCTCCCTAACCACTGAGCTACAGGTGCCTACCTGAGAAATCTACTTTTATTTCATTGAGAGGTCACGTTACCTGCCATAACTTATATGAGAGTCTGGAAAGGTAAATGTTTTTTTATGGAGAGGTAAATACTTTTAACTAGATATGCTGTCACCCTGAAAAAAAAATCAGCCTTCTTCCAGCAAGGAAGAAAGAATACTGGTTTAAACAACCAACGTCTTCCTTCCTGATCTAAGGAGCTTTGACACACATTATTAAACAGTAGACATCAGATGACAATACTCTCCAAGGTTTATATGTTGCTAATGGGAGAATATGGTCAGGTTTGAGTCTAACGGGGCTCAGAAAAAAGTATCTCAAAATGAAAGCCTCAGAGCATAAGTTCTTCTCTGACCTCCCTGTCTTTCTACCTCTCAGTCCCATTCTTCCCTGAGACTAGCCATAGAAACTAGAATCCCTCTTCCCCAAGGTAGGTCATAAGAATCAGAACCCTTCATCCTGAAACACAGCCACGAAACCTAAAGTTCTATGTAAAAAGTGTCCATAAAGAATTGACCTACCTTGTGAGCTGTAAGTTGTATGATCCCCCTATTCCAGAAACGGCCATGCCCCTATGAGGAATGCATCCTCAGAAAGCCCAAAATAATCTTAATAGGCAAGCTTTGCTGGATTCTGCCACTCAGCCTGTTAGCATTAGATCATACCCTTTTTGTCCAATTATATTTCTACACAGTTGTCCATGCTGTGTTGAACCTAAGCACAAAAATTGATAATTTCCTCTGTACCTTTGAATCTTCATTATGAGGTTTTCCATGTATATATATTAAAATAAATTTGTATTTTCTTCTCCTATTAACAATCTGCCTCTTGTCAGTGATTTTTCAGTAAACCTTAGGGAGGCAAGAACTTTGCTCCTTGAAAGTCTTACTTATAAAGTATATTTTTCAAAGTAACCACAATATTTTTTCTAGTTGTTAATATTGAAGAATTGGCTGGCATCAATATAACTTCTAGCAATGTGTCCAAGGATATAACTGCACAATTGTACAAAAGTCTATGCATTGGAAAGCTCATCAAAGAGTTGTTTATATTTTTATAGGGTGATGCCTGTGGCTCAGTAGGTAGGGCGCTGGCCCCATATAGTGAGGGTGGTGGGTTTGAACCCAGCCCCGGCCAAACTGCAACAAAAAAATAGCCAGGCATGGAAGGCGCCTGTAGTCCCAGCTACTCGGGAGACTGAGGCAAGAGAATTGCCTAAGCCCAAGAGTTGGAGTGCTGTGAGCTATGTGATGCCATGGCACTCTACCAAGGGCACTAAAGTGAGACTCTGTCTCTAAAAAAAAAAATAAATAAAATAAAAGAGTTGTTTATAGTAGTAAAAGCTTGGAAAGAAATGTCAATCAATAGCCTATTGGTTAGAAAAATGATGGTACATCTACCTAAAAATACTATGCAACTTTAAAAAATGTTATTTATAACATATTGTTCAGTGAGAAAAGAACTGTGCATATAATAAGATCCAATTTATGCAATAATGTATTGTCTGTGTGTGTTTTTTAGTCTTAAAGAGATACCTGGGAATGTAACATGAATTTAAAAATGGCTACTCTATGGGATTTGGACAAAATACAACTATTTTCTTTGCATTTTAGTCTGAGTATTTTAATATTTGTTTGAATAAGCATGTATTCTTTTCATAAAAACATAAGCTGTTGCCTCAACAGCTACTCAGGAGGCCGAGGCAGGAGGATTGCTTAAGCCTAGGTGTTCCAGTCTATAGTGTATTATAAATGCGCCTATGAATAAACATTGCAGTCCAATCTGGGCGAAATAATAGCAAGACCCCATTGCCAGATAAATAAATAATTTAAAACCACCGAAAAGGCTGGGCAAGGGAAAAGGGGCTGATTTGGTCCAGTGTTGTTTCTATCAACGTACCTTCTTGCCAGTAATTTTCCTAGATATGGCTGTGGTTTGAAAGTTTCTTATCTGGGTTCATCGGAAAAATGTTGTTCTTTATGCATTAGAATTTTCAATAAACTCACGTTTTGCAGCACGTATCAACAGAACTAAAAGAATTTTAAAATTTAAAGCACATCTAGTGATTCTAATCCAAACATCTCATTTTTCAGATGAGAAAACTGAAGCCAGAAAGAGAAACTGACTGATAGGCCCATGCTAGAATATCTAGGTTGGTGTTCTTTCCCTGTCATGCATCTAGACTTCCTCCCATACATCCTTACCTTCATCAACTTCTCCCCCAACTCATTACAATTATTGCCTAGCCTCACCTACCTTCCACAGCTTTCCACCCATTGTAAAACAGGCAAAGGAGACCCTTCCCGAAGTCACAATGTTCTTAGTACAAAATAAAACACAGAATTCTTTTAGGTTTTAAAATTCTTTTAGTTCTATTGATACATCCTGCAAAACGTGAGCTGAACCTCAACAAATCAAAAGAAAAACAACAATAACATACATAGGTTGTTCACTCTTTGTCTCAGACATGCAGTTAAGTATCTTGTCAAGGTTACATAGCTAGTAGGTGCCAGCTCAGGCAGTAGGATTTCAGAGTCCATACTCTTTAACAGCTATGGTAGAGTACTAAAGAACTGCCTGAGTAGAATACTTAAAGGGCTGCTTTTCAATCCTGGAGCTTGGCCTTAAAGATGATGGTTAATGCCACTAAGGTCTAGACCACACATCTACCATCTGACTATGGCCACGTTGCCTCAACAGGTAGCAGCTCCTTTTCTCTATTCTAAAGAGAGATTCTTCATTTATAGCCCTTTTCCAACAAAAAAGGACCTAAGTTTTGCAGAGCCCTTAAGAAGCTTTCCTACCTTTACTGGACAGACCTGAAACACTGACAGAACCAAAGACCGCGTATGCCTACAGGATGCTTTCTCGTGTCACCATCTGAGTTCTCAGCCCTCTCTGGTTCACGCACGTTACCGAGCACCAGTTTGCATACCTCATCTTGCCATATTTTCTTTCATTAAGGTCAGCGAGATACTGAGGAAAGAGAGAAAAAAAGAAAATGAATGGGTTGAAAATAAGCTGACTCCTAGTGTACTACCCTGCCATAAGACTAGAAAAGTAGAGAAGAACGAAGACCAGCCGCAAGGGGGGAGCGGCTAAACGTTTTGCTTCTGGAAGCCCCAACTTCCTAGACCCCTTCGCAGAAGGGCGGACCGTGCGCTCCGCGGCCAATCCCGGCGTCCGCACGTCGCCGTAGCCCCGCCCCGTCGTGGGCCCTCCGTTCCGCCCTTCCTCGAAGGGGCTGGTGAGGCGGCGGCGACGTCAGTGCTAGGAGACCCCCGGGTGGCGGCTGCGCCGTAGGCGTGCCGCGGCCTGGACGCGCTGCGGGGAGGGGCGGAGCCAGCGGGCGGGAACGCGCGCACGGCCCGCCTTGGCCGCCGCCGCCGCCGCCGCTGCCGGGGATGGTCTGGGCGGCAGCAGGCGGCCTCGGCTAGGCTAGCGGCTGCAAGCCACTTCTGCGGCTGCCCAGAGGAGCAAAGGTCGCCAGTCCAGTGTCGTCCCCCTCTCCGCCCCCCAGGAGGGGCGAGAGGGCGCCGCGGCTGATGTCAGGTACGGCCGGCGGAGGCGCTCTCAGGTTGCGGGTCCAAGGTCTCGGCTCCGCTCTTCCTCCCCAGTCTCGGGGGGAGCGGGGAGGTGGAGGGAGTGGAGGGTGGAACCAAACCCCAGGCGGGGCCGAACAGGTGTCTCGGGCTCGGAGCGGGGACTAGGGGCGTCTGTGCTCCCGAGGAAGGCGCAGGGCACTTCCTTCTGCTGGCGCTTCAGCTGGCTGCTACAGGGACCGGCTGCCCACCGGGCCGCTATTTTGCCGGCATGTAGCCTCCTTTCGTCGCGGGTCCTTCCGTTTCGCCCTTTTGCACCCCTCTTCTCCTACTCGAGCGCTGCCTGGCGTCCGGAGGCGGTGGTGAGACGCGCGCTGCACCGGGGCGTCCGGGCCGAACCACTTAGCGGTCCTGCCTCGCCGAGCTGGCCGCCCCGCCCCTGGACCCTGCCGCCGCTCTGCCGACCTGTGAGTCCCGCAGGACTCGCTGCTCAGGTGGAGGGCACGTTCCACCAGAGCCTCTGGGCTGCCGCGCCGCCTGAGTGCCGGGCGAGCGGGCGCCTGCAGAAGAGCCTGGAGCTGGCTTGGATCATCAGGTTTGTAGCTGATTTATCTCTGTAAGTTTCCCTGCCACTGGCAGACCGAACAAGCTAAGTGTGTGTTGGGGCGCTTGATACTTGAGGGAGAAAAGGAATTTTTTTTTTTGACTCTGCACTCTCCCTTCCCCTAACAAAGTGTAATTGGATTAGAAGGTGCTGACAAATTGTACATACTGCTTTAAATTTGGGCAAACTATATACTCTTGGAAGAGAAGCATAGTTTGGGGATGGGGATTTATTCTTTTCCTTACCCTCCCAGACGCTCTTATTTAAAACAAACACTATATGATCAGTACCACAAAGAAAAAATTCTTTAAAGAAAAACAACAAAAATCCACTGGATGTGAAGTCGTATAGATATCTCATATAGGTATCTAAAAGTTATGGTAGATACGGTGAAGTTTCCTGAGATCGAGAACTTATGCTAACTTCAGTTATAAAGTTAGAACATTATTAATGTGTCAGAGTGAGTAATTAGGCCAAGTGTAAGAGACAAAAATATGTTAATTTTCTATAAATTGGGCATAAAACATAGATAGTTCTTCCTGGATGCCAGGAAAAAGTGTTGTACATAATTTCAAGTTGTTTAATACTGGCATAAATTTAGCAAGTGGGAATCTGAATTTTTAGAAGATATTTAAATGACAGCTTTCCCCTTCCTTGTCAGATAAATATCAAATAAACCTTAGGGACGCAATATTGTGTGTTTTAAGTATTGTCTGTAGTAAACTGTATTTTACACCAGCCTTAGTGTACATATTGATGTACAGTTTAAGTGAATATAAAATTTTAAGTTACCAAACAGTTAACTCTTTTCACCATATGTTAAGTAAAACAGTGCTTTAAGTAGGGAAAGTATGACTCATTTAAAATTCTTCATAGGAAAAGGGAATGGTTTTCCAGTGTTAGTGAAGAACTATTGAATGTCTCTCTTAAATTTGCCTGGAATTCATGTTTTCTCTGTATCTTTTTACTTGAGATTCAGCATTTTTAAAACATTTGTGATTATTACCCATTTGAAGTTTTTAACTTTTTTTTTTAAAAAAGATTACACTAATCTATGTTTCTGAGTAAATTCAACATCCAGAAATTCTTAGAATTTTGTCACAAATTTATTTAGGAGGATGTATAATGAATTAATGTTTACCTAATTGTAGAACTACAAAATTGTGTCCCTCGGAGTGTACTTTATACTATTTATATATTGATTTATGCTAAAATAAAAGTTGCATTATACAGCTTAACTTTATAAACCACAGTAATTGCCTTTATGTGGTAAAATCATTAATTGGAATTTTTGTGACCGTGGAAGTGTAATAATTCTTAAATAGAAAATGGACAGCTTAATGCTGAAATTCAATTCTGCTAGGTAGGAAAAGTGTATATTGTGAGGAAGAACGCATGAATACATTCTTAAAAACGTGAATGTTGTCTCATAGCTAAATCAATACTAGCTGTTAATAAATTTAAAAATTGTTGCCAGTATAATGAGTTAAAATATCTCTTCATTTGATTTACCTTTCTTTAATTATAAGTGAAATTTGATTATTTTGACCATTTTTTTCTGTGAATTTTTTATTTTATCTTTTTTTATATTAGGTTATTTGTTTTTTCTTTATTTATGATATTTTGGGGGGTTTATTTTGCTGTACATTCTTTTTTTAATAGTTTTGAACCAGCAACTTCATTGCCAGAAACTTAGCCAGTGAATTAACTCATAGTTTTACTGTAGTCATAGCTTCTGAGTTTTGGAAAGATCTCAATTGATGATAGAAAAAAATGCAAAAAGATGTTTTCTTCTAGTTTTGTTTTAATTCCATTTTTAAAAAATACTAAAATATTAGAAGCATTTAGAATTGTTATTAGCAGAAAGATAGGGATCTGCTTGGTTGCTTATTATGTTTCCCAAAAGATAAATTAGTTCAGTATCATTTCAGGAATAAGCCATCTATTCCTTGATTTGAAGTGTTGTGTGTATTGTGTATTAAATTTCTAGAGGAACTTTTATTTTACATAGACAATTTTGATCTGATAAAGCATATCTGATAAAGACTATCAGGGAAACATCTGTAGGCTGACACAGGGTAATTAACTTGTTGCTGTGAGGGAGATTTGCACAGCAGAGAAACTGTCAACATTTCACTGAAGAAAGAACCAAGATTATCATAGTATTTAGGGGAGCAGTCCAGATTAGGCAAAATTTATTTATTTATTTTAATTAAACTTTTCATTTCAAGATCATTGTGGAGCCACGTGCAATACTGAGAAATAATAGAGAGATCCTTTGTTCCTTTACCTAATTTCCCCCAGTGATAACATCTTGCAAAACTGCAGGATAGTATAACAACCCAGATATGACATTGAAATATCATATGGTTATGAAATAAGGAGTTTCCATCACCACAGGGATGCCTCCTGTTGCCCTTTATAGCTGTATTCACACCTCTTCCCCATCCAGGAGACCCTGACCCTTGGCAACCACTAATCTATTCTTTTCTCCATAGTTTTGTCAAGGATATTATGTAAGAGTCCCTAACCTTTTTGCCACCAGGGACTGGTTTCGTGGAAGACAGTTAATTTTCCTAAGGAATGAGAAGGGGGTGGGATGATTCATCTGCACTACATTTATTGGGCACTTCATTATTATATCATTTTTATAATGAAATAATTATTCAACTCACTATAATGTAGAATCATTGGCAGCCCTGAGCTTGTTTTCCTGCAACCATATGGTCTCATCTTGGGGTTTTGGGAGATGGTGACACCAGAAAGGTGTGTTGCTTAAATCTAGCCTACTCCATAATCTCAGTTGCTATGGCTGCAGGAAACCCTGCTTCAGCGATAGGATGTTGGAAAGGGACACACGATTTTCAGTGCTTTTGTGGCACTCTCAGGATATCCCACCTGACTTTAATCCAGAATAAATGGAGATTTGAGGTTGTCTTAAGTATACTTTTAAGACCATTGTCATTTACATTCTCAAGCGGTTGACTCTTCTAGCACAGACAAAGTTGATTCATGTGGCTTATTCTCCAGTGAGTCACGGATCCATTCCTTCCAACTTGGGGGGTCTTTGGTTGTTGGGAAGTAACATTCAAACTCTTGAAAACTGAGATAGGTCATCTTGCATCATTTGGGTGAAAGAAGGTCCTCATTCTCAAAATCTGCGCTAATGTTTGAAACATGTCCCATGAACATGATTCAAATGTTCACTCATTGGCCCCATAATTCCATTTTAGGTTTGAATGCAGTGACTGTCTGCTGACTTGAATGCAGTTGTTTTCACTCAGTAGTAGATTGAGTTCGTTGAGCAGGTTGAATATGTTACATAAATAAGCAAGTTTTGCCACCCATTCTGCGTTACTGAAATGTGCTGCCAGTGGTGCCTATTTTTCCAAAAGAAATCTCTAGAGTAGCTCTCATAACTCAAAAACCTATAGAAAGCCACCTCACTTCTGTGTGTAAGAGAAGATGTGTGTGTTCTGAGTCCATCTCTCAGAGCTGGGCAAATGGACTTGAGTTAAGGGCATATACTTTATGTGATTAATAATTTTAATCATATCCTGCAAAACATTGTTTAGTTCAGGTGACTTTTTTTCCATTAGCCAGCATTCTTACAGATGATATAATGCATTCTGCAGCTGTGATGTTCGTTGGCAGCAAAAACAAAAGTACACAAAAACAAGCATTGTTGCTTGTTGTCAGCATTGATAGACTTGTCAACCTGGATAGTGTATCAGGGTGGTTCATTCATCTTCTGTAACAGTTGTGCCTCAATATGCTCTGTTGTTTCATCAGTTTATCTAGTTATGGTGCTAACTGAAAGAGGAACATGTGCCACCTTTTGAATGGCAGCCCCTCCTATAAGTTCCCTGTAGATGTCCTTAGCAGCAGACAGGATCAAGACTTTACTATTAGTTAAGGGTTTAACTTTAGCAGTATGGCTAGCCACTAAGAGAGATGCTCTTTGTGCAGACACATTTGTTCACATTTAATGAAGGATGGTCTTCAGTAATTGCTTCTGTTTGTTATGTTTATGTGTATTTTTTTTTAATTCCTTTTGAAAAATTCCAAAGGCTTGTCTTCTAATGCAGAGGGCTTGGTCTTCATGTGGCCAAGAAGTTTTAAAGGTTTCATGGCTTCATAGATAGCTGCTTGCCACATATTAAATACAAAGCGGGCTTGGGGAATTGCAAATCAGCTTTTGCAATGAACTTGTAATTTAATTAGGATTCTTGCTATTTTCTTTTAAATGCAGCTTTCACTTTGTTGGCAGTCCTTGAGTCTTCTGCTGTCTCATCATTGATTGAGTCTTTCCTCCTCTTTTCAAGGAAGCTCTCCAAGGATGTTTGCTTTTTCTCATTTTTGCTAGAGTTAGCTTGTGGGTTTACCAAAACTGTGACTAAGTGTCC